AACAGGAGAAAGGCTGGGGGAGTGGGGACTGGTCACATGTCAGATGCCAGTCTGCCAGTGAGCCCTACCTGAGGAGTGCCAGTCCCAAGCAGAGAGGATGGGGCTGCTCACTCCCAAACCGGGTCTGGTAGGTGTGTGCTGCAGCCTGGTGGGGAGTGGGGCTAGGGCTTGGGCCCCACTGGTGTGAGACCCTTGGCAAGGTGAGAATGTGGTTCTTGGGTGCCCGGAGCTGGGCACAGTATGTAAAAGGGGTGCTGACCAGCCAGGGCCCACCCTCCCAGAGGTCACCTCCCAGGGAGGTAGGTAAGTGGGTGTCTAGTGAGTTTGGGGTGGTTGTATCTAGAAGGTGGTCTCTGTTTAAACTGAGTGAGGCCAGGGAGCAGCTAGGATTTCTGAGGGAAAGGAGCTGGAGAGAGGTAGTCACACCTGGGCCAACCACAGGGCCTTGTAGGAGTTCTGTAGATTAAGAGCTGGGGGTGGGGGTGGTGTGAATGGGGTCCCTGGAGCCTCATGGCCCCTCTCTTGCCCCACTGCCGTCAGGAGCCGCTCCCGCTCAGGGGACTGGTACAGGCGGGGCGGCCGGGGTCCCAGGCACCACAGCAGTAGCCGCAGCCGCAGCAGCTGGTCCCTCAGCCCATCCCGAAGCCGCAGTCTGACTCGGAGCCGCAGCCCCAGCCCCAGCCAGAGCCAGAGCCGCAGCCGCAGCCGCAGTTGTAGTCGAAGCCGTAGTCAGAGTCACTCGTCATCACCCCCAAGGGAGAAGCTGACCAGGCCGGCGTCGTCCCCTGCTGTGGGCGAGAAGCTGAAAAAGTGAGCAGGTGCAGGGCTGGGGGAGGAGGATTCTCAGCCTGAGATGGGATGAACCTGACTGTTTTCGTTTTGAACTTGCCTGTGTCCTGGGAGGTGTGAGGGAACATGGCCCTGACCTGGGAGGGTGGGTCTGAGGAGGCAGGGCCTTGCCTTGGATGATGGATCAGAGGGGTCAGATCCGAGAGGGACTGGGGTGCCTGAGACCCATGGCCTGGGCTCTGGTCAGGGCTGTGTGATGCTGTGTGGGGTCAGAGATGGCAGGTGTTCTTTCCTCCTCCCAGGACCGAACCTGCCGCTGGTAAAGAGACAGGAGCTGCCAAAGTCAGTAAGAATTTGGAACTCGCCCGTCTAACTCCCGCAGCAGCAGTGCCCGAGTGCTGGGCCCGGTGGGCCTGCAGGGGGGCCGGGTGGGCCGGGAGACCCAGCCCCGGGGATTAAGGGAACCGGAAGGGTTCTGTTCCCATGATATCCATGTCCCCTTCTCCGCACTGCTCCCCGGGGCTCCGTCTGTCCTGGACCTCCAGACCTTCATGGCAGGTGTCCACAGCTTGCCCCTCCCCACATGCCCCCAAAAGTCCCAGGCTCTTGAATGAGGTGGGTTGTGGGAACTCCGGGACACCCACCCCCTCTCCCACCTCTTTTCCCCCTTCCCCAGCCCAAGCTGACGCCACAGGAGAAGCTGAAGCTGAGGATGCAGAAGGCACTGAACAGACAGTGTATGTACCCCGTCTATCCCCCAAGTCTTCTCGCTCCCCCTCCTTCCAGCCTGGCCTTGTAGGAGAGGCGCTCTGGGGAGGAGTGGGTGTGCACGCTGCTTTGCTGCCATCGTGCTAAGGGCGTTGGTAGGCTGGCTGGCCCTCTGAGCTTGGAGGCCTACCAAGCCACTGCATCCCTCCCCCCCCACAGTCAAGGCGGATAAGAAGGCCGCCCAGGAGAAGATGATACAACAGGAGCATGAACGGCAGGTAAGGGTGGAGTGAGAAGCGGGGCTCGGGCGGGTGCCAGCTGGGCCGCCCTCACTGCCATCTCTGCCTCAGGAGCGGGAAGATGAGCTTCGCGCGATGGCCCGCAAGATCCGTATGAAGTAAGAGCCTTCTGCTCCCTGTATCCGCCGCAGCCACCTCCTTCTGGGAAGCCCCCCATTTCCTTCGTTCCCTGCCACCCAGCTCTGAGCTATAGCCCTGCCAGAACCCTCCCTTGGCCCTGTTTCCTCCCTGCATCCCCAGCTTATTCCAGCCACAATGACCCTGCTCCACCAGCTCCCATTTCCTTTGCTGTTTCCCAGATCCTCACCTGGTTCCCTCCCTCAGTCCACTGGGCAATCTCCTCCCTGACCATCCTGTCCAGAGTAGCACCCCAAAACGCTCCCAGCTCCAACCCTGTTCTGTGTGCTTCGTAACACTAACCCTCACCTGACGTGCAGTCTGTTTGGTGTGCTTGCTTATTAGCAGTGTCTGCACTGAGATGCCGGGTCTGGTTGCTGTGTGTTCAGCCCCCAGAACACTGAGGCGGTGCTGTTTGTGGGAGGGCTGAACTCCAGCCAGCCCCATGGCTAGTCTGGCCCAGTGCTGGGAGACAGCTTCTCTCCTGTCCCCTCTGCGTAGTGTTCCGTATTAGCAAGGAGGGACATCAGTCAGTGGCAGGACCTTGTTGCCTATCAGTAGTTCTGGTTCCACTCTGTATTTGCTGTGGTCCTTGGACAAGTAACTTGACCCCCTCTGAGCCAGGACTCCTTCCTCTGTGAGACAGACGTACTAATGCCCCCGCCTTGGTGCCTTGGCAGGGTCCTACTATGAGGCTCCCAGTGTGGTGCCTGGCACATAGGAAGGCCCGATGCCCAATCCCACTGCAGTTAGTCTTCATCGTTAACATCACTATTACACGCCCCTTGTGTGTTGGGTTTTCGAGGATGCTGTGTGCTTCCGTTAGGAGGCAGAATGCCGAAGGACTCAGCTTCATCCGTCAGATCTGGGTTCTGATCCTGCCTCGTCCACCAGCTATGGGCCTTTCTCTTGTTTGAGTCTTAATTTGCTCAGCTACTTAAATAGGGAGGGAATAGTTGTCCCACCTCAGCCAGGAGAAGGTGCCCGGTAAATGTCGCCCTTAGGATTGCAAATCCCAGTCATTCTGTTGAAAACCAATTAAGCATTTAGCATGTAAGTCCCTGAGCGCTGTGACTGCGTGGAGTGGGACCGGACATGATCGAACGAGGCGGCCCTCCTTTCTGTTGGTTCAGCGAGCCTTTCATAGCAAGGCTGACTAGGGTGGGAGTCCAGGCTCTGCCTAGCAAGCATCCCCTCTGACTCTTCCAAGAGGGGATGGTTGCTCTTCCACTGGGACTAGGATATGAAGCACTTGCCCTGAGTTCAGTGTTCTGGGCAGCATACTCACCCCTCCCTGGGTTGCCTCCCCTCCCCCCTGCAGGGAACGGGAACGCCGAGAGAAGGAGAGAGAAGAATGGGAACGCCAGTACAGCCGGCAGAGCCGCTCGCCTTCCCCCCGTTACAGTGAGTGTCCCATAGTCACTGGGCCGGGAGATCTGGGCTGCAGGCTCGGGGGCATTAAAAAGGAGAAGCAGATTGTCTCAGCGGATAGAGCCTGCAGACCAAAGGGCCCCGGGTTTGATTCCGGGCACGGCCACGGTCACAGGCACGTTGCAGGCTCCTCCTTAGCCGGCCCTTGTCAGGGCTCATGCAGGAGGCAACCAGTTGATGTGTTTCTCTTACATCGATGCTTCTCTTGGTCTTTCCCTTTCTCTTCCACTCTCCCTAAAAATCAATGGAAAATATCCTCAGATGAGGATTAACAAAAACGAACAAAAAGAAGTGGTCTGACCCGGATGGCTCAGTGGTTGAACGTCAACCTATGAACCAGGAGGTCACGGTTTGATTCCAGGTCAGGGCACATGCCTGGGTTGCGGGCTTGAGCCTCAGTGGGCGGCAAGCAGGGGCAGCCAGTAATGATTCTCTCTCATCATTGATGTTTCTATCTCTCCCTTTCCTTCCTCTCTGAAATCAATAAAAATATATTTAAAAAAAAAAGAGAAGTGATGTCAAAACTGATTATAAAAAAACCACGTTTCCACATGTTAAAACTCTTAAGATGCGTGTGCGCACAGGCAGGCATGCAGTGTGCTTCAGTCACAAGGGAATTGCAGGATGGGAAGAAATGCACATGGTGTGGGTGGGCGGCACAGGTTGTAGTCCCAGCAGTGGACATGCTGGTGTAGCATCAGTGGAAGGTGAGACCAGAAGTCCAGCCCTGGGGCCCGTTCCTGGCCCTGGGCATTTGCTTTGTCCTCACCTCCTCCTTCCTTTCTAGGTCGAGAGTACAGCTCTTCCCGAAGGTGAGTAAGCCGGACCAGCTCCGGGGAAATCCCAGTTGTCCTGTGTGGGAGGTCTGGCTGGGTTGGATTCATCCATTTCCACCCTGCACCCTCCAGTTGTAAGGCTGTCTCCCTCCTTTGCAGCCACTGAAGCCCAAGTGATCCCCAAGTGTGTTGGTGCGTGTGTATACATGTACACACATGCACGGGCCTCCCCTGCTCTGCCTAGCCCTCATGGGCCCCTCCCTCTTTCTTTCCAGGCGCTCAAGGTCCAGATCCCGCAGCCCCCATTATCGACATTAGGCAGAAGCGTGGGGGCTGAGGGGCTGGGATGGGTTAGGGCTCAGGCTGTGATGCTGCTGATTTTGTTCTCTAATGAAATAAACGTTATTTAATTGCCTTCACTTGGCCTCCGTGTCATCCATGTGCTGGGTGCGGGCTCCCAAACTCCGTTGTCCACCAGCCAGCCGTGTGGGGGTGGGGGTGGGGGTGGAGACAGACTTGCTGGGAGTGAGGGGACAGGCGCGTGTTGCCTGTGTGGGAAGCCTGGCTGCATCTGTGCCTCCGGCCCAGTGAGGGCAGGGGCTCCATGCAGTAGGAGAAGGGCCCAGCACCCACGTGTGGAGGATGGGCCAGGACTTTGCCCAGGGCCTCTGGTGACAGGTCCAGGCCTCTCCCTGCCCTCGCCCACATCAGGAACCGGGAGCACGGCTTTCTGTGCCAGTCCTGCCGAGCCACAGGCACTGGGGGCTGGCCTTTCCCTCACCCCCTCATTCCAAACCGGTCTGTCCAGCCGTCCACCCCAAGGAGGGGAAGCCGCCTGCCCCACCTCAGATGCCCTGAGAAAGCGAAGTCCACACGTGTATAACGAGGGAGGGAGGGAGGATTTATTCACAGCAGGACATGATCAACAGATACATGAGCAGTGGCACAGGGGCGGCAGGGGGGAAGGCATTCCTGCCACTCAGGCCTCCCCGCCTGCTTGGGGGTGCTTCTGCCGCAGGTGCTTGTCCAGGGTGGCCCGCAGGCCGAAGGGCACACGGCAGTGGGGGCACTCAAAGCGGGCCCCGCCGGGCCCCAGCCCATGCATGCGGCGGTGGCGGTTCAGCTTGCTGCTCTGGGCACAGGCGTAGGGGCAGAGCTCGCAGGTATAGGGCCGCTCCCCGGTGTGTGAGCGCCGGTGCACAGTCAGGTTGCTGCTGTTGGTGAAACGTTTCCCACAGAACTCACAGCTGCCCCCAGGCCCGTGGCTCTTGCCCACTGTCTTTGGAGTCTTCTTAGGCAACTTCTCTGGGATCTGGGCAGAGTTGATTCTCTCTTCCTTGATGGCGACACCGCAACCGTCCCCACCAGGACCAGCCTGAGCTCCACCACCTGGAGCCCCAGGTTCCTGCACACCCGCTGTGTCGGCAGCTCCAGCCCCTTCACGGCTGCACAGGAGAGTCCTGGCTGGGGCAGCGGCGTGGGCGGCTGGCTCCGGAGGGGCAGCTGAGGCCTGTTCCTGACTGGCCTTGGCCGTGTCGGGGCTCTGAGGCTGCAGCTGCTGGTGGGTCTTCTTGTGGCGGTTGAGCTTGCTGCTCTGGGCACAGGCGTAAGAACATTGGTCACAGGCGTAGGGCCGCTCGCCCGTGTGCGAGCGCATGTGCACCTTGAGGTTGCTGAAGGAGCTGAGGGTCTTCATGCACACAGCGCAGGTGGGGCTCCGCCGGGGGAGGCTGTTCGCCTGGGAGCCCTTGGCCTCCACTTCCTGCCCCACCACTGCTGACATGGCTGCAGCCACCTCCGCCAGGCCCAGCAGCGGAGTCTCTGGGGCCTCGGATTCCGTCTGGTAGATGGACAGTCCATGGTCCCACTGGGCATGGCGCAGCAGTTTCCAGGCCTTGGTGAATTGTCGGCCACAGCGGAGGCAAGTCAAAGCCTTCAGGTCCTCAAGTTCTGCAGAGACAGGCTGGGTGTTAGTGTGATGGGTAAAAAGCATAGCGGTAGTGGTCACAGCTTGCCAGCTGGACACATTCTGTGGGAAAGCCTGTTCTAGGCCCCAAAACGGCAAGAGGACAGGGAAAACCCCTGCCCTCAGGAAGCTGATGTTCAGGGAGGCGGTAGATGGACAAGAAGCAAGGAAAGCCGGGAGTGGATGATGAGTATGCAAGGGTTCTTTCCGTGCTTGAAAATCAGAGATGCCCTCCTGGCCCAGTAGCTCAATTGGATAGAGCATCATCCCCATGTGCCAGGGTTGTGGGTTCAACCCCCAGTCAGAGCACATAGAAGCAGCAACCAATGAATGCATAAGTAAGTGGTACAAATCAACTTTAAAAGAAGAAAGGAAATCTTTGTGGAAAAGTTAAAGTTAAAGCAGATGGACAGGGAGTGCTATTTCATATTGGGGTATCAGGAAGGCCTTGCTCAAGGTGACCAAAAACAGTGTGCTAGCCCTAGCCGGTTTTGCTCAGTGGATAGCATCGGCCTGTAGACCAAAGGGTCCCGGGTTCGATTCCAATCAAAGGTCAAAGGCACGTACCTGTTGGGGCACATGCAGGAGGCACATCGATGTCTCCCCCCCCCCCCCCACTCTCTCTCTAAAAATCAATGGAAAAATATCTCCAGGTGAAGATTTAACAAAAAACACACAAAAAAATTAAAATAAAAAGAACCCCCTCTTTGAACCTCAGTTTCCACACTTGCTAGAATATGGGGATCCTCTCCCTTTCGGGGTTGTTGTGACCTCAAATGGGGAACAACTGAGAGTTTGGGTCCATGTAATCTCTCAGTAAACCTTGGCTGGGCTGAGTCCACAATCCTCCAAGAGTCTGTGTTTCGTTCCAATAATTCCATCACAGCCCCTCCCTGCTCGCACTCTAGCGGATTTGATCACAGCTCTTCCTTTCAATATAGGACCATCCCTGTGGCCCAGCCCTTTTCGAAAAAATCCCGGTTTATAGGCGGGGGACTGAAAATCCTGAGCCTAGTGCCACGGTAAGGGTTTAATTCCATTCCAAGAGAAGGAACCCAGGTGCCCAGACAGGAGGACGCAGCTCAAACCAGGGGCTTCCCAGCAAGCACGACTGGGAGATTCCAGAGGAGGGGGCAACACCACCCTTCCAGCTGGCCTCAGGTCGCCCCTCCCCCAGACCACTGCCCTCCCCAGGGTCCCCCTACTGCCACACTGGTCCAGCCACCTGGCCAGTTATTTCTGGCCAAGGGGAAGGAGAAGTGAAACCAGATTGGGGGGGCGTGTGTGGCAAGTCCCCAGACCAGTCTTCTGGGGCTGGCCACACCCAGTGGGCCATCCTCCTTCCCTGCCCAGCCCTGCCCCCACCCTTCGCACCACCACTAGTCCCAGCCCTAGGACAGGGCAGGCCCTGGCCACGCCTAGGCTACACCCGATGGGGAGCCAGAAAGGGGAAGTAGTGCTCACTGCCCCGCCTGTCCAGCTCAGCCCCTTCTCCCACAGGAAGCCGGGCCCTTGAACTTGAGAGGGGGTTGCATCCCAGCTCTACTCACCTGAGTCCGGGCAAGGGCTGGGGCCTCTCGAGGGCTGACAGCCCTGCTTCTTGTGGTCCATGAAAGCCGTGATGGCCTTCAGCGGGAAGGTCTGCAGGCAGAGGCCGCAGGTCAACGTATCTGGGTGTTTGTCAGTCCAGGGCTGGCGGTCTGCAGGGAGGAAGCGGGTGGTGAGCATGGGGTGGGGCCAGAACCGGCTGGGGGTTCCGAGGGAGAGGGGAAACCCGGAGGTGAGAAGGGAGCCAGGACCCAGCTACGGAAACACGACCGGGGCAGGGGCAGGGGCCGCGGAGCGGTGCCGGAGGCCGGCGTCCCACCCGAGAGTGAAAGGGGAGGGTCGCGGGGCCCGGCACAGGGGGCTCTTACCGTGAGGATTAGGAACCAGAGAAGTCCACGGCGCCGGCTGGTTCTGCAAGCCGAGGGCGAGGAGGGTACCGACGGCGGGCATCTGGCTAGGGCAGTAGCGGGGTGCGCCCTCGAGGCGGCCCGGCGCGGGCACTTCCTTTGGGGAACCCCGCTGCAGCCCCGCGGCCTGTAGGGGCCACGGATGCGGCTCGGGCTTCACGTCGATGACCAGGTCCCCCATCTCCGTCTCGTCGTCGGTGTGGGCGGCGGGCTCGGGGTCGACTCGGCGGGGCATGCAGCCGGCCTTGCGGCGGGACATGGGTCGCGGTGCGGACGATCCGGCGGGCTGGCGGGCCGGCGGGCGGAAGGCGCGCGAGGCGTGTGCGCTCGGGCCGAGACGCTCAGGTGAGTGACTGCGGCGACTGGCCGCGAACTTTTACACGTGCTGGCCCGGCCGTGGCTCCGCCCACCGGGGGGCGGGGCCTGGTGGGAGCCGCAGGGGCGGTCCGCAGGGGCCCGGCTGGAGGCCAAGCTCAGGCTGAGCCGTGCCCACGGGGATTGGCCTAAGGGCTACACCTAAGGGCACCCAGCTCACGCGGCCGGCATAGAAACGGCGACTGCAGATCCCGTTTTAGGGCTGGCGAAACTGAGGCACAGCACCCCACAAACACCCAGGAGGGAGAAAACGGTCGGGGCTACGTTTCTAACTGTGCCCCTAACAGTGTCTTGGACTTTTTCAGTAAATACATAATAAAAATCCACTGGGCAAACCTTCATCGCGAGCCTATGGTGCACCAGGTACTGCTCTAAGCACTGGGGACACTGCAGCGAACCCAACAGACAATAATCCCTGGGCTTCCCCTCCCCTCCCCTCCCCCCGAGTTTACTGGTTCAGGGAGACTACGCTCAAGAAGATAACTATTTAAAATAGAGTTCCTTCTTGGGTGACCAGTGTCACCTGGAGCCAAACAAAGCTAGGAAGGGTTATAAAGGGGCAGGGTGACATGTGTGTGGGGGCAGGGGGGCCTCAATTTTCTCCCCACACCAGGGAAAGGCATGGTGGAGTTGAGACCTGAGGGATGTGAGGGAGTCAGCGAGTCTCTGGTCAAGAATAACAAGGAGGAGGGACTCTTCCCCTCCCTACTTGGGAGTCTGTGCTGTGAGACTCTTTCCCCTTCCCCACGTGGGAGTCTGTACTTGTTCTTCAATAAATTTCCACTTTCACTACACAAAATAATAATAATGATAATAATAATAATAATAATAAATAACAAGGAGGGAGGAGACGGACAGGAGGGGGGTTGAGCTCTGAGAAAATGGAGTCAGCTGCGAGAGGGTCTTTTGACCACTTGAAAGTCTTGGTTTTTGGAGAGGTGAGTCTTGCGGGTGGTTTGAGCAGAAGAGGATTACGATCGCGTACACATCTACTCTGCTCCTACACCTGGAATAGCCATGAAAGCCAAATGGCCACTGTCTTACCTCTCTCCACTCGGCCTCCTTGAACTTCCCTCCTCAAAGCAGCTCTTTCAGATCACTGTTTGAAGTGGCATCAACACCCTGCCCCACCCTCCAACCCTTACAAGTTTTCTTTTCTTCCTGACACCAACCACATCGTAATACAGAACGGTTTCTTGACTGTCCTCTCCCTTCCCCCACCCTATACAAGGCTCCTTAAGGTCAGGGCCACAGTCTGCCCTCCCCCAGACTCCCCAGCCCAGCACTCCAGCACTGAGTGGATTTCATGTACTAACCCGGCTGCCCCCCACCCCCCCAGTCCTGCTCCTGGACCCTCAGGGTCAGGGTTCCTCACATTGTTATGTTATTCAGATCTCCCTCAGGGGTGGCTCAATTGTCCTCCCGAGAGCCAAGGGCCACCTTGACCAAGGTACTGGTAGCCCCACCCTGCTTAAAGCCGCATAATTACACTCCATGACCTCCATCTGTCCCCAGTTCCCTCCTGGGCCTCGTTTCCCCAGAGTTGGTTTCTTCACTGCCACCTTCTGACCACCCAATTAAAGGGACTCACCAACCCTGCCACCCCACTCTCCGCTACCTTCATTTTATTCCTTTTACATCACCCAACAAGGCCCGATGCATTTGTTGATGCATTTGCTGATGGATCTATCTTATTCTGTCCCTCCCAGCCACCCTAGAATGCAGTTATGAGAAAGCAGGAGTCCAGTCTGTCTTGTTCATAAACAGAGCCCCTATTCCTTCATAGTTCAGTCAACAAATACTTACTGAGCACCTGCAATGCACATTCTTTCAATAGATATTGGTAGGGGGCCTCCCTGTGCCAGCCATTAAGCCTTGGGGAGGAGTGGGAAGCAGAGTCCATTAAGCCCACCAAGTCCCTGCCTTAGTGAAACCGCGTGGAAGAAGTGAACTGTCTGAGCCCAGAGCAGCGAGGTTCCTGAGTATCTGGAACTGCTGGTCTGCCTGCAGGGCCTCGGTTTCCTCTGTGAAATGGGACTGCAGGGAGGGCTGCGGGACAAAAAGGCCGCCTCGGGTGCTTCCAGCAGGCTTTTTCCTGGCGCTTGGCTGCATGGAGCATAATCTCAAGGTTTCCAGTAGGGGAGGTGGGTGGGGTTGGGGCTGGAGGACAAGGTTAGGAGTGTGCACGTGTAGGGAAATGGGGGAGGGGGCAGAGACTAAGTTCTGCCTTTAACCCCCTTTTGAACCTCAATATCTTCTTCCATAAAATGGGCATCCGGTCACCCTCACCTCGCAGACGATAGACGAGCTCCGAGCGCCCGACCGCGCCACCAGCGTCCGGCCGTGCGGGCGTCCCAGCCCGGGAGCCCGCCCGCGACCACGTGGGGCGGCGGCGGCCGCGGCGGAACGCACGCTGGGCGGCGCGCGGCCCGCCCGAGCCTCTGCCGCGGGGACGCCGGCGGAAGTGGGGGCGCCGGCACGCAGGCCTCGGTGAGTTCGGGGGTTGGTGGGGGCAGAGCACCTTCCCCCTCCCCCGTCCGGGCCCCGGACGCCCACCCGCGGGCAGGCCGGGAGTGGCGGGCAGAGGCGGGTCCGAGCGGCCGCACCGCGGAGTCGGGTCGGGTCGGGACGCACGGGCGGGGCTGGTCCCGCGCCGCCGCCGGGGCGCGGTGGGGAGCAGGGGGCGCGGGGTGATAGCTCCGATGCCGGTAACAGGAGTAACAGCAGCAGCCAGACCCCCACCCTTTCCCGGGCGGACTCGTTGGCTTCCTCCGAGCTGGGAGACGGGAAGCAGGTCCAGCCCTGGGCGGAGTGGGGAGTGGACGCCCGGGGGCCGGGAGGACCTACTTAGTATAAGAATAGGAGAGCGATGGGTGGTCAGGGAGGAATTGGAAGAATACTGACCGGCCCAGGGGGTGGAGGGGAGGGAGGGTCTCTCCCCTTTGAACTAATACGCATCCAGGGGGGCAGCCCATGGGGTGTGTGGACGGACGGGTCACCTGCGTTAACTATGTCTGGGCGCCTCTTGTTAAGCTGGCACCCCAGCTGGTTCCCTCCCCTGGCAGTGGAGGACTTGGCTAAACGTTAGTCCGAAGATCTGACCCACTGCCATGGCCTCAGTGAATACTGAGGCCCCAGGAGGGAGGTCCGTGAGTCTCCGGCCCCTGCCATTGACCTCAGGGATGGGATCTGGAGTCAAACGAATTCGTTTGTCAAGTTAGTGGGGGATGGGTGTGGACGTGGTTCCTGGAGCCTTCCAGCAGGAAATCCTTGGTCGGAGACCAGAAGGATAAAGGACGGTGATCTGGTCACCTGGGAGAGTGGATTAATGCCTGCTTTTGTCTTCTTGGGCACGCCCTTTGTGACCTTTCTCCAACCAGTTTCTTCTCTTTTTTCCTCTCCATATAATGACTTTATTTTCCTTTTTTGGTTTTTTAACAATATATTTTTATTGATTTTTAGAGAGAGAGGAACGAGAGGGATAGAGAGATAGAAACATCAATGAGAGAGAAACATCACTGATCCCCCATAGGGGATCGAGCCTGCCACCTGGGCATGTGCCTGACCAGGAGTCAAACCAGTGACCTCTTGGTTGCTGGGTCGATGCTCAACACCTGAGCTACACCAGCTGGGCTGTTTCCCCTTTTTTTAAAATGTAGAGTTAAAGTCATCCAACATACAGATGTAACTATGGTTCCTTGCATATTTTTTTCTGTCTAAAGTTAGGTATTTCAGCTCTGAGATGATCCCATTAAAATGACAACATTTCTGAAAAATGGGTTTCATATTTATTTGACGGGAAATAAACTCCCCACTATCCCCCCCCCCCCCCAAGAAAGAAAACAACAAAAAAACCTCTAGTCCAGAGCTACTGGCAGACAGTTCACAACCATGGCTAACACATGGTGTCCATGCAGGGAGAGGGCCCTGAGACAAGCAATGTTGTTAAACTTTTTAAACCAGCTACTTTATTGTTCAGAATAAGAAGAATACTGAAGAAAAGCATTTTCCTTTTAGCCCAAGCGGCTATGAATAGTAAAAACCAACTGATTTGAAGTCCCTGGAATGCATGCAACTTAGACTTTCCTAACGCACACAGCCAGGTCCCAGGCTCTGAGTCTGCCTTTTAGGAAGACTGGTGCTCGCTGGGTCACCGGCTGTTTATCGTTCCTCGGGGGTTTTGAGTGGCTGCTGCTTTGGCGTCTGGCTGCTGGGTTTCAGTTTTGGGATCTTTTCCATTTCCAGCACTTTTCTTACTCTTGTCTGCTGCCACGACGGCCCCCATGATTTCCATGATTTCCGGCGGTGGCTGATCACTTCCCTGGAGCTGGGCCGGAGTTCATAAACCTGGGACATCTGTTGCTTTCAATTTTTTTCCAGGATGGTCTGAACCTTGCTAACACCATCTCCCCTGGCCTGACGGACATCAGCTGGTCGTCCTTCAGGATCTACCCAATCCAGAGCCAGTAGCTCTTTGGTCCGTTATCAGGTATTTTTTGTCCGTCTTCTTACCTTCGAAGTTATCCACAGCCTGCTCCAGGATGGCTTCTGCTCTCAGCACACCTGGATATTAGGGGGGTACTTCAGCCTCTCCTGGCTTTGGAGGTGTGGCTTCTGCCGAGGCTGGGCTGGGGGCTGCCCTCTCTTTTGCAGCCACATTGTTGGAGGAAGATCAAATCAGTTTCTTCTCAGGTCACACCTTGGCTGCAAACCTCCCGGGGCTCCCCTGTGCTGGCTGAAAAAACTGCCCTCCGCTCAGGGCCGGCCACCGGGGTTTTGCTCCCTTTCCTGCCACTCACTAGCGTGCACCCAGCAGGTGATTTGCCATCTCCCAGCTCCAGTTTCTTTTCAGGAGAATGGGGATTGCACTCCTATGACCAAATCTGTTACCGCGCCCCCTCCCCCGATGGAGAGAACAAGGCCCTGCGCTGGCCTGCCCTGAATTTTGTTTATTTTTTCTGAATTTTGTTTTATCCAGGGATTTAATTTAGTGACCAAGTCCTTGGCCACTTGCATAATTTCCCATAAATCTTTTATTTCGTAGGAATCCTGGAGACTAGGTGTTTCTCTTACACTCAAGTGTTAATGTAGGTTGGGGGACAGCCCTGGGGGCTGGTGACCTATGACTAAGCCTGCAGTGCCCTGGACAAATAGATTAGAAAAAAATAGATTAGAAAATGTCTATCCCCGTTAATCCCATTTACTGTGGTCTTCCAGACCAGGCAAAATCGGGGAGCCTACCGTGGCTCTGCTTTTTCTCTCAATCCATCAGCAAATAGTGAGGGCTCTCAACTTTCAAAGCATACCCTAAGGTGATCACTTCTCGAACCCCCACTGTTACCACCCCACCCCAGGCACCACCATCATCCCCCCCCCCCCCCGGACCACTGTGGTGCCTTCCTCACTGGGCTCCCCACTTCTGCTCTGTCCCCCACTGTCCATTTTCTGTTCCGCAGGCAGAGGGATCCTGTGAAGGTCCTGTCCCTCCTCTGCTCCGAACCTCCATGGCTCCTGTCTCACCAGAGTACAGGCCCAAGTTCTCGCCGGGGTCCTCAGGGCCCTGAACGTTCGCCTCTGCCCCCACCTCTTCCGCGCTGGCCTCCTTGCTAATCCTGAGTCACCCTTCCTTGGTCTTTGTATTTGCTCTTCCCGCTGACTAGAAGGCTTCCCCCCCTCGATCTCCGCATGGCTTGATTCCTATTTCATTGACGTCTGTGCTCACAGGTGACCTCATCAGAGAGATCTCCTCTGGGTGCCCTGCTTCCTGGAAACCACCTCTTGCCCCCTAGGCTGAGCCAGGTGTTCCCTCGGGGCTCTCGCCGCCCTAGGGCTCCCTCATTCCAGCCCTGCCTATTCTGGGTCGTTGTCTGGATTAGAGACAAGTCTGTCACCATGAGGGCCGGGCCGGGCTGTTCCAGGCACAGCTGTGTCCCCACTACCACCCAGCATGGGCTGGGCACAGAGCAGGAACTGAGATAATGTGGACGGCGAATCTTTATGTTCCCTAAATGAGTATTTACAGCCCTCCCCCTGTGCCAGGCCCTAAGAGGGGCTGGGGATGGAGTTGTGAAGTAGTCGGAGGTGTCCATTCTCTCAAAGACTGTTCTGTGGCAGAACAGACAGCACAGAGGAAAGCAAATAAATGCATTTGTCAGGAGGTGATGGGGCTGAGAAAAGAAGAAAGGAGAACGTGAGGGGAAAGGGCCGTTACTTTTCTCCCAGTGAAGGTGGTGTTTGCACAGTGACCTGAATGAAGCGAGGGAGGAAGGTGAACCATGACTAGAAATACATTATGTCTCCCATTTGGGACAGGGTTCTAGGCAGCAAGAACAGCATGTGCAAAGGGCCTGAGACAGGAATGTGCTTGGACTGTTATAGGACCAACAGTGAGCAAAGGGTGGAGCGGGGGGCGAGGAGGTCAGAGATGATGGGTCCTCTTATGTAGCCTCTGTAAGAACTTCGGCTTTTGCTGTGGCTGAGGCAGGAGCAGATAAGAGCTCTTGGTAGAGGAGGGGTTGTGATGAGACTTAGTTCTAACAGGATCTCTCTGACAGCTGAGTGGGGAAGAGACAGGGGTGAAGGTGGAGGCAGGGAGCCCAAAGGAAAGAAGACTGACCGCAATAGTCCAGGTGGGAGATGCTGGTGGCTGGGATGAAGAGGAGGCAGAGTCGGGGAATGAGAAATTACCAGATTCTGGATTTGTGGGGTTTTTTGTTTTGTGGGGTTTTTTGTTTTGTTTTGTTAATCTTCATCCAAGGATTTTTTCTATTGATTTTTAAAGAGAGTGGGAGGGAGGGAGGGAGGGAGGGAGGGAGGGAGAGAGAGAGAGAGAGAGAGAGAGAGAGAGAGAGAGAGAGAGAGAGAGAGAGAGGGAGAGAGAGATTGGTTGCTTCCTGCACGTCTCCCACACACATCCTATCTGGGACCGGGAATTGAACCTGCAACCCAGGCACTTGCCCTTGATTGGAATAGATACAGCGATGGAGAACCTATGACACGCGTGTCAGAGGTGACACGTGAACTCATTTTTTGGTTGATTTTTCTTTGTTAAATGGCATTTAAATATATAAAATAAATATAAAAAATATAAGTCTTTGTTTTACTATGGTTGCAAATATCAAAAAATTTCTATATGTGACACGGCACCAGAGTTAAGTAAGGGTTTTTCAAAATACTGACACGCCGAGCTCAAAAGGTTCGCCATCACTGGAAGAGAACATTCGACTCTTCGGGGCTCAGGTTGACACTCTAACCTCTGACCCACACTGGCCAGGACCTGGATGCATTTTTGAAGTGGAGCTGACAAACTTTACTGATGGATTGATTGAATGTGGGTAGCAGAGAAATTGAGGAGTCCAGACACTGGGGTGTCCTTTATCTGTGTGATCACCAACCTTCCCCCAGAGATTCTCCCTTCTCCTAACCCTCTAGGACAGTGGTTCTCAACCTTCCTAATTCCGCGACCCTTTAATACAGTTCCTCTTGTTGTAGTGACCCCCAATTTCATTGTTACAAATTGAACATAATTAAAGCATAGTGATTAATCACAAAAACAATATGTACTTATATATGTGTTTTCCGATGGTTTTAGGTGACCCCTGTGAAAGGGTCGTTCGACCCCCAAAGGGGTCGCGACCCACAGGTTGAGAACCGCTGCTCTAGGAGGTCTTTTTTATGCTTCATTTCACAGATGAGGAACTGGAGCAGGGAGACTGCCCATAGAGTTGCAATGACCTGCCCAGATCCCTGGTAGTGAATCTGGGCTTAGGACTCACTGGTCTCCCCCAATTCACATCCTTTTTTTTTTTTTTTTAATATATTTTATTGATTTTTCTACAGAGAGGAAGGGAGAGGAATAGAGAGTTAGAAACCTCGATCAGCTGCCTCCTGCACACCACCTACTGGGGATGTGCCCACAATCAAGATACATGCCCTTGACCGGAATCGAACCTGGGACCCTTCAGTCTGCAGGCTGACGCTCTATCCACTGAGCCAAACCAGTTAGGGCCCCAATTCACATCCTTATCCTCTCTCCCTGATGAAAAGCTGTGACTCCAACTCCTTATTGCAAGGCCAAGCTCAGAGCGGGTTTTACATTTTTAAGTGGTTGGAAAACGTTTTTAAAAATCATTTGTGGTGTGTGAAATTATATAAAATTCAAAATTCAGTGTACCAGTAAGTAAGGTTTTATTGGAGCACTAGATGCCCCGTGCATAAATTTGTGCACCAATGGGGTCCCTCGGCCTGGCCTGTGGAATCAGGTGAAACCAGCTCTCTGACATCCCCCAAGGAGTCCCGGATTGCGAGAGGGTGCAGGCCAGGCTGAGGGACCCCACTGGTGCACAATCAGTGCCAGATCAGTGCCAGGGAGGGGGCCGGGGAGGGATGCGGGAGGCTCCAGGGCGTGTCTGGCCTGTCTCCCTCAGTCCCAATCGGCTGGACCCCAGCAGCAAGCTAACCTACCAGTCAGGGCGTCTGCCCCCTGGTGGTCAGTGCACGTCATTGCTAGTGGTTGAGCAACCTTAGCATATCATTAGCATATTACACTTTGATTGGTTGAACAGACAACCAGACACTTAGCATATTAGGCTTTTATTATATAGGATAGCCATGTTCATTGTTTATGTTTTATTTATGGCTTTCCTGCTACTATGGCAGAGTTGAGTAGTGTGATGGAGACCCTATGACCCATGAAGCCCAAAATATTTACTATTGGGCCCTTTGCAGAGGATATTACTGACTTCTGCTAATAAGAAATATATTGGGCTCCCAATGGGACTTGGCAGCTAGTTCCACAGGGGCCTGGGAAAGGGACAGAAAGGTTTGGGAGTGGGTGACTGTAAGGTTAGGAGAGGGAGTTCAGATTCCTAAGGGGGAATCTAACTTAAAAATATATATATATATCCCTAGTCGATTTGGCTCAGTGGATAGAGCATCAGCCTGTGGACTGAAAGATCCCAGGTTCAATTCCGGTCAAGGGCACATGCCCAGATTTTGGGCTCAATTCCCAGTAAGGGCGTGCAGGAGGTAGCCAATCAATGTTTCTCTCTCCCTCCCTCCCTCTTCCTTCCTCTCTGAAGTCAATAAAAACATATTTAAAAAAAAAATTAATGATGAGAGAGAATCATTGACTGGCTGCCTCCTGCATGCCTCCTACTGGGGATCAAATCCACAACCCAGGCATGTGCCCTTGACTGGAATCCAACCCGGGACGCTTTAGTCCACAGGCTGAAGTTTTTTCCACTGAGCCAAACCAGCTAGGGCTATATATATATATTTTAAAAATATATATATATACATATATATTTTTTTATTGATTTCAGAGAGGAGGGGAGAGGGAGAGAGAGAAACATCAATGATGAGAGAGAATCACCAATCGGTTGCCTGCACATCCTACAGTGGGGATTGAGCCTGCAACCTGGGCATGTGCCCTGACCCTTACCAGGAATCGAACGGTGACCTCCTGGCTCATAGGTTGACACTCAACCA